CATGCTCTACAGTTAAACTCCTTTTTGCTTCTGAGTGGAGTGGATCCTCCTTCTTCTCAACCCTAGACCAACAAGATTCACTCACCTACACTTCTATGATACTTTGGGAGATTTTAAAGATCCCTTTCAAGTTAGTAGCTCGTCGCTGGACATCTTGATCCCAGTATCAGCAGCTCGCTCCCTCTCAATGTGACCATTCCTTCATTTAAGCTTAGTTATAGGAAAGTGACTATCTAGGATTTTTTTATTCACCCTATCATTACCAACCACCACTCGATCTCACAAATAACTTAGTTCACTCATCCATTCCCTCAATATGATTTAGGATTCACCGCACTTATCTAGTGACTCCTAGTTAGAAACACATCACTAGATCCTTCTTGTTTTGTATTGATTAGTACGATTGACCAACGCCATGGGGGTCACCCACTTTTGAATTCATCCATTATGCCCTCAAGGCCACCTCATTCACTGGAGAGACAAACCCTCAATCTTGGTCATCCCTTGCTCAATTAGGGGACAACACGTGCATAGAGTATAATGTAGCATTGTATACATGGAATGTGCAATATTGCAACTTTTCACTTTTTCTTTATGTGGTTTTTCTTGTACCCCCATGATCATATAAATAAGGGGTCATGAGATATAACGCAGGAGGGATTTTCCTTCTTTTGATAGCATAAATTCTATTTGAAATCTCTCATCTTCTAAGCATTTTTCATATTTCATTTTATTTTCCAATTCCACTACTTACTCTCAATCCTCCCTAAGATTTCTATCCATATGCTTACCTAGGCAGCCTAACAGTAGATCGGGTGTCATCCATGAGTAGATTCAGTTCCAATAGGAATAAACATAGATAGTACTTTAACACATAAGTTTAAATGGTATTTCCCTCACCTTATAAATATAAGAGGTTCATTTATCATCACTTCCATGTGATTTCTCATAAAAAAAAAAGGAGGGAATATTAGATAGGGAAATTTTTTAGTTTGATTATCCTTACAAAATCTTTTATTATAATAATTTTAAAGATCTTGAATATGCTTTGAAATGAACATAATACAAAATATTTATGTTTTGCAATCCTCTGAAAGCAAATTCAAGATTTTTAAAATTCATAATGACCATTTTTTGTCAAAATATCTTAACATAAATATTTTTTAATAGAGAGCGCCTATAAGATCTAGGTAGGTGTTTGCATTGTTGGTATATAGAGGTGTCAGTTATGAGCTATGAATTTTATGAAAGAAATAATTAAAACATTCATCACCAAATATTAGCATGAACTTTATTTCAAGGATAATTTAAAATATTATCAAGTCTGCTGAAGTTTAGATAATAGCATGACTCATCAAGATGAATAAACAAATATCGAGCATTTTCATCAAATGAAAGCAGCATTGGTGGCAATTAGGGGGCGGTCATAGTTCAATTTATCAATCGTAGCTTGTAATAAAAATGTTGGATTATATCAAACACTTGATGAATTAAGAAACGATCCAACTTAAAATGAAACTGAATTATTTATTTCGGTTCATTATATGTTTTGAGTGAAGAATAAAAAAACTGTACATTGCATTATTATTTTCAGTTTAATTCTGTATTCTCACTTCATTAGCTTAAGTCCATTTGGTTTAACATTTAAGGTTTTGGGTTTTGTTTGGACAGCTTTTTATTGCGGTCTAAAGTAGCTTTTTTTACTAAATTTCTAATTAAAAAAATTTGTACTAAAATATTATTTTAGAAAGCAATAAAAAATCTATCTCAAACGACATTTCATTGAGGACCTGAGGTTCGACGGGGAAAATCATGGTTGAGGCCTTTTTGCAAGGACTAACTCTCAGGTAAGTTGTTCATTATTTAGATAGAACTAAAAAAATTAATTGAGTTGATCATATTTGAATAATTTGATTTAGTTGTTAAAATATTAGTTTATTTTTTATAATATGTTTGATTTTATTTTATTTTTAGTCCTGAAATCAATAAAAATAATAATAACTGTAAATAACTATGTGACGTAAAGATCAGATAAAAATTATTTATTTAAAATAACAAAATTTTAAATTTAACAAAAAATATTTGATATTCTTCTTAATACATAATATTTAAGATAAAATCAATTACAGCTCAGTTGATCAAGAATAGAATTGAATTGACTGAATTAAATATTCAATTCGATTAAGAAATAGTTTCATCAGTTCGAATTTTAAATTTTGGAATATAAACCAATTAGTATAAGTTTTTAATTTTGATCAGTTTGATTGATTTATTTATTTTTAATTTTTTTGAATTTAAGTCCTTTTATTACTCAGCTATTAACTATATATTGGGTGATTTTTTTTATTGGCTTTGCTGCAGTTGTATGTAGTGCGAATGATATTAATTAAGATTGGGTGTTAGCTTAACTGATGGTCTTGTTTACCTAACTATTGATGGTTTATGATGTGGAAATCATTTCGTCACAAAATTTGTTACTGATTTATGATGAGCGCTTTGATTACGATGGATTTATCATAAATTTAGGCATCTATTACATATATAATCAAAAGAAAATACATTAGATAAAAAGATCAATACACCACAATGCTAAAAGATGGCCACAAAAAAAAAAAGATTACAGTCAGAGAAATACAATACATGTCAGGACCGAACAACCTATACGAAATGAAGAAAAATACAACCCCAGAATCAATTGGACTCAGACCGGCACTTTGTTGCCAAACTTGGGCCACCCAAGGAGGAAAAGATGAAAAAAACCGAAAATCCAAATGCAACATGCCCTAAAAATAAGAACCCACCAAAACATATAGAGAAATAACAACCTAGGTTGCCAACCAAGCCACGGCCGTTCGACATGCGAGCAGGAAACCTGCTTCATCATTATCCTGGTCCGAATCCATCGCATCAAATAAAAACAATACCATAAGAAACCAAAATAACTACAACCAATAATCCTCCAAAAAGAACAATCATTCTTTTTGGGTTTACGTTTTTTATGCTCAACACTATTTTTGAAAAACCCAATATCTGCAATTTGAAGAATACTTAAGTCAAAGTTGCCCATAACATCCAATTCTTTCTCATTCATTTCATCCCCTCCTGCTGAAGAATAGTCATCATTTAGCCAATCTCCTTGCCGCACTACACTATCACTAGCATGGTGAGCTAACTCAGCACTGGAGATAACATATATAGGTACATAAACCAACGGCACCACAACTTCCTCATTACCCTGATCAAAAGCCACATCATCTGAAGTACCCAGCTCAACTAAGTCACCACCCCGTCCATAAGCTAAATAAGCCTCAACCGACACCTCCACAGCGTCAGCATAAGTAGGACTAGCTCTAAAGTAAATGTAACATTTATTGGCATTCATAAAACCATCAACAAAGTTAGTGCAATGAATAGCTAAAAGCGCCACATCCTCCCCAACATAAACAGGATCACTCAAGGGAAAGACATGAGCAAACGAACTACCAGCTACCACCGAAAGACCGACATCATTTCTGACAACAGCATCAATAGAACCTAGATTCAGAGTCAAATCCTTGTCAACAAAAGAAACAACATTACCCAAATCCATAGCTAATTAAATCATTAAAACCAGCATCCGCAAAAACAGGGCCAATAGGGGCCAAAGTCATAGGTTCAGACAAAACATTATCAACCAAAGTCACAGGCCCAATGCCACCTTCATTGCCCCGAAGAAACATTATCAAGCTCATTCCCAAACATATCATTATCCACCTTGCCACTAATAATAACAGTAGGAGTAGAATGAAGATGTAAGATCCTACACTCTAGTTTTGAGTAACTTAAGAATTTACAGTGAGAATAGTGAAGGGAAAATCATCAAAAAGTATCGATTGAATGTAACTCAAGCTATCAAAGCCATGCAGCATAGGGATGGTTGCCAGTAGAAGTAACATTGTCGATCGTTAGAGGCCTGATGAAAAGAGAAGCAAGGCCATGCAAGATATGAGTAGAAAACAAAAGAGGCCTATGATTGGGATACAACACCCAAATATGAATAATGGGTGATTCAACATCAATATCAATTAAAGGGGTCGATTTAAAAACTTTCATGAAATAATTGCTCAGAAAGTAAGATCTGTGAGCAAACACCTTATAATAATCAAGATCATTATCAAGCTTAATAAATACATGTTTGGGATTGAGAACAATCATAAAGAACTGACCAATAAGTTTAAGGTTAAAAATGAATTTTCTGATAGCGTCAATCGAAGGTCAACGAACCAAAATTTTTTCGACCAAGCGAACTAAAGGGGAGCAGCAAGCGCAATAACTTCCTCTTCGTAAATCCACAAGGCCGACAAACCATGATGCGAAGTAATTTTAAGATCTGGAAACTTAGAGGAAGAAGAATCGCCATTTCAAGCATCTTTAAAAGAGCGAGAAGAAATTTTCCCGTTCAAAAACTTGTGATCCATCAACCGCGGAGCAGCCATGGAAACATCGAAACCAAAAGCCGAAAACAAAAAGAGAAACTGAACACGATAATCAGAGGAAGTAAAACAACTTCCCTGACGCCAAAACGATCACCGAAGCCAGCAAGGAGGATGACATGGAGACGAATGGCTAGGGCAGGAAAACCCTAGAAGAGAGCATCTTAGACAGGTTAAACAACTATGAAAATAGTAAAATACTATTGCTTGACAAATTTAGGCAGCATTTGGGGGGACTTTTTCCCTGATTTCGGTTACAAAATATAACCTAGTGGTAGGTTGGGGTTATGAGGTCATGCTCTGGTCTAAAAATTTTAGCGTCCCGTGGTTACTTTTCTTGACCTAAGAGAACCTCCAGCATTTGGTTGCTTCCCGCTGTTCTGAGGTATGATAAAGACCTAAATGCCCTTATATTTATACACAAAATTCCCCGTCTTCTTCCTCATCCTCGCTCATTTGTGCAATATCCGACCACTTCTATTTCTGCCACTCCTCCACTCTAGAATTTGGAACCGGGTCATCCGTACTATGCTACGTTCGCTCGGTACTTCTCCAAGCACCCAGCTATGCGTTGCCGACCTTCCGCACGGCCCTACCAACTGTGCCATAGCCTTCCACACCACCCTAGTATGTCTTAATTTTTTTGTTTCTTTATTCTCTTTAATGAAAAAAATTCCTTACAATCGGTAGCCACAAATAATGATATTTTTTTCTTTCATTTAGATGTCCATTTCTGCTGTTTGATTTCAACATCATTTAGTACTATTTAGTTCTGTTAAGTGATGAATTGTTGAATTGCTTTACTCTTCAAATTGAAGAGACGTTTCAATTCCTTCACATGAGCCTCATCTTGGGTGGAGTTAAGTGAATGCTGGAACCCAAAACTTAGCGCTGATTAGCTTCGGTTGTTTTAGAAATTCTATGAGAGCCTCTTTGTAAATACTAACATTGCTTCATCTTAAAATTTCTTAAATTTTATAACACATAGAAGGGGCATCCCAGCAAGAAATGTAGCAGTGGGATTTATTTTAAAAGAATAGTCTATTAAGAAATAATTTTCAATTTCTTAGAACAGTGGGATTTATTCATTAAAGAGTGAAGAGAGTTGCATCAACGACAAGATACGAGATGACGAAGGTGTTAAGAAGATGATCCATTATGGGAACAAATAATAGATGCATTGATTGATGTTATGAATAAGAAGTCATTTCCCAAATCAAGTTTCTCTTAAGGCATTGTGAATTTTGTTGTTGTAGCTATGTTGTTCATAGCAGCAGGCTCATGCATTAATTACTTGTTGCTCTCTATTTCTTGTATGTGTATGGAAGCAGGCAGTTAAAATTTTTTAATGAATTGAAATATACTATCTACCAACAAAAAAGTTGACTACAGACTTACTATATCCTCAATTTTTCCATTCAGCCAGATTTACATTATGTCCTTTGTACCAAGCGTCAAGTGCAAAAGCTACAGGAGAAGAAATTTTTATTTGGTATGTACAAACAAATGGGTTGGAGATATAATTGTATAAAGATTGAGTGCAGAGTTGTTCTTAATTATAGATTGAGTGTAGAGATTTTACAAACACATTCATTTCCTCCTCCTTTGCAAGGTCTTATTTTTGATGTACCACTATTTTGCTGCCACGGAGATATACAACGCAATACGTGTGTTCATTGCTGCCTATGTCTGGATGACTGGATTCGGGAACTTCTCTTACTATTATATAAGGAAGGATTTTAGTCTTGCACGATTTGCTCAGGTACCTATGATTGTTAACCTTCATGTTGTAATATTTATGTTCTTGCATATACGCTGTTTTACTTATGTTATTGTCGACAATTTTAATAAATGAAATGCAGATGATGTGGCGTCTAAATTTCTTTGTGATATTTTGTTGCATCGTCCTCAACAATGATTACATGCTATATTATATCTGCCCAATGCATACGCTCTTCACAGTCATGGTATACGTGACGCTTGGTATCTTCAACAAATACAATGAGATTGGGTCAGTGATGGCTGTGAAGATCATGTCCTGTTTTTTGGTGGTGTTCTTGATTTGGGAAGTTCCTGGGGTTTTTTATCTTCTTTGGAGCCCCTTCACCTTCTTTTTAGGTTGGTTTCTCAGATCCTACATACTACAGAGCCCTCTTTTGTTTTTGATAATCTCACACAAGTGACAGTTGTGCTTTCCGGTTGCAGGGTATAAAGATCCAGAGCCTTCTAAGGCGAACCTCCCTCTTTTGCATGAGTGGCATTTCAGATCCGGACTTGATCGCTACATCTGGATCATAGGAATGATATATGCTTACTACCATCCAAATGTGAGTTTTTTTAGCATCATTTGTTGATTGATTTATTATGTTCCCATTCCAAGCTATTTACTATCCCACTGTTTCTTTCTTGGAGCGTTGGATTTGTGATTATGTGAGGTTTCTTAGGTATTTCAATCCTCTTCCATATCAGGTTGAAAGATGGATGGAAAAAGTTGAAGAAGCTGAAGCCAAACTCAGGTTCTCAATTAAAACATGTATAATTGCAGTTAGTTTGATGGTAGGCCCTACGATTCACTTTGTTAAGATCAAGTCTCTATCTTTTTATAATTAAGTACATGACTAATGAATCCTATTTTGTTAGGTTGGTTTTTTGTGGTACGAGTACATTTACAAACTAGATAAAGTTAGTTACAATAAGTATCATCCCTATACGTCATGGATCCCAATCACGTAAGTACAGAGTTTATTCAAGAAAAAATGTCCCTTTAATTCAAATTGGTACTGTTTCTCAACTAATACCTCCTTTTATTATGTTTTTTAGTGTTTATATTTGCTTGCGAAATGCAACCCAGCAGTTGCGAAATTATTCCTTGACTCTTTTTGCGTAAGCCAAATCTTCTGGACAATTATTGCCATTTTTCTTGAGTTTTCATTTTATATCAATATGCAATCATCCTTGTTTCATTATTTTATTTCTACTGCTTAGGTGGCTTGGCAAGATCACGCTTGAGACATATATCTCTCAGATCCATATTTGGCTTCGGTGAGAATGGAGTTTGACATTTATAAAATGTTTTTTTTTTCTTTTTATCTAATTCTAATCAAATAGCTTCTTTAACTAACGTGTTTTCTCTAATAAAATAAACAACTGAGTCATAGTATCATTTTTTGGTTATAAGCAAACAATGAATATATGAGTTTGGTTTTCTTTAGGAATAATTTTTGTCTTCTATTCTGATATAAATTGTGTTAGAACTGATTTGATCATTTATTTTAAAATTAATGCAATTTAAAATTTTCATATACAACACTATTCTTCATACAACAACAACAACATCAAGCCTTTATCCCACTACGTGGGGTCGGCTATATGAATCCTTTTTCTCCATTGTGTCCTATTAAAAGTCAAATTCTCGTTTAAATCTAATAAAGAAAGGTCATTCCTAATATTTTCTAACCAAGTCTTTTTAGGTCTACCCCTACCTTTCTTAATATAAGTCAAATCTAATACCTCTACTCTCTTAACTGGGTCGTCGGAAGGCCGCCTTTTTATGTGACCAAACCATCTAAGGCGACTCTCTCTAATCTTATCTTCTATTGGAGCTACTCCAACCTTTTCACGTATATGCTCATTTCGTATCTTATCTCTAAGGGTAAAGCCACTCATCCACCTGAGCATTCTCATCTCTGCCACACTTAACTTAGTATTATGCTTCTCTTTTAATGGCCAACATTCGGCACCATAAAGCATTGCAGGCCTCACTACCATCTTATAGAATTTTCCCTTAAGTTTGAGGGGTACATTTCTATCACATAACAAGCCCGATGCATTCCTCCACTTCAACCATCCAACTTGAATTCTGCTGATAATATCCCCATCTATTTCACCATCACTCTGAACAATAGATCCAAGATATCTAAAACGTGTACTCTTATTAATGACTTGATCGCCCAAAGTCACAATCCCTTCAGTAGGTCTATTACTACTAAAATTACACTCCATATATTCTGTTTTAGATCTACTCAAGCGAAAACCTTTAGACTCTAAGGTTGACCTCCATAATTCAAGTTTACCTTCAACTCCCTCTCTAGTCTTATCAACAAGAAGAATATCATCAGGAAAAAGCATACACCAAGGTACATCATCTTGCAAATGTCTAGTGAGAACATCCATGACTAAAGCAAATAGATATGGGCTTAAGGCTGATCCTTGATGTAACCCAACCGAAATAGGGAAATACTTGGTCAATCCACCTTGTGTTTGAACACATGTAATAGCTCCTGCATACATATCTTTAATGATTTGAATATAAGCATTATTGACTCCTTTCTTTTCAAGAACTCTCCATAGCACTTCTCTTGGAACTTTATCATATGCTTTTTCTAAATCAATAAATATCATATGTAGATCCTCCTTATTTTCTCTATATTTCTCCATCAAACCTCTTAATAAATGTATGGCTTCCATAGTCGACCTATCCGGCATGAATCCAAATTGATTTTGAGAAACATTAGTATCACGCCGCAACCTATGCTTCATAACTCGCTCCCATAGTTTTAAAGTATGACACATTAATTTAATTCCTCTATAATTCGCACTCCTGTGCATCACCTTTATTCTTAAAAATAGGAATTAACATACTCATTCTCCACTCATCTGGCATCTTTTTAGTCTTCAAAATAGTATTAAAAAGTTTAGTAAGCCAAGAAATTCCTTCATCTCCTAAGCATTTCCACACCTCTATTAGAATATCATCAGGTCCAACAGCTTTTCCACCCTTCATTATCTTTAGAGCCTCTCTAACTTCAATTTTACTAATACACTGATAAAAGTAGAAATCTTTATTTTCATTTAGGGTGCTAAGGTCACTATAGTCAATCTTATTTTCACAATTTTCATTAAAAAGTTTAGCAAAATATCTCATCCACCTTTGTTGAATATCATCTTTTAAGAAAAGTATTTTTTGATATTCATCCTTAATACACTTCACTTGAACTAAATCCTTACTACTCTTATCTCCTTGTTTGGCTAACTTATACATATATCTTTCTCCCTCCTTAGTATCTAATCTATTATATAAATCACTAAAAGCTAAGGTCTTTGCATCGCATATTGCTTTCTTCGATTCCTTACGAGCTTCTTTATATCTTTCCTAATTATCAGATTTTTTAAAATTAAACCAATTTTTATAGAAAATCTTCTTATTCTTAATATTTTCTTGCACATTTGGATTCCACCACCAACTATTTTTTCTATTAGGAGCTATTCCCTTTGACACTCAAAATACATCTTTTGCAATATTCTTAATATTATTAACCACTTTATCCCACATAACATTAACATCCTCATGCACAGATAAAATCTTAAGATATAAAATCTTACTCTTAAAAATATTTTTATTAATATTCTTTAAATGCCCCCATCTAATCCTAGAATATCGTTTTACTTTATTTTTTTATTATCTACCCCTTTATGTTAGAGTCCAAAACTAATAATTGATGTTGGGTACATAAATTTTCACTCATAATAACTTTACAATCTTTGCAATCTAAACGATTTAATTTTTTTATAAGAAAATAATCAATTTGGGTTGTACTATATCCAATTTTAAAAGTGATGAGATGCTCATTTCTTTTCTTAAATAATGTATTAGCAATTGAAAAATCATAAGCTAAACAAATATCTAATATGGTCTTGCCACCTTCATTTGTTGTTCCAAAACCATAGCCACCATGAATTCTTTTAAAATCATCTACCTCTCTACCAACATATCCATTTAAATCTCCTCCAATAAAAACTTTTTCTTCTAGAGGTATCTTTTGTAATAATTCTTCTAAGTCATTCCAAAATTTTAATTTAAAACTCATATCCAAACCTACTTGAGGAGCATAAGCACTTATAATATTAAAAATCTTATTATCAATAACAATCTTTAAAGCTATAATTCTATCTCCAATCCTATTAATTTTTATAACATTATCCTTCAAACTCTTATATATAATAACACGTACACCATTTCTATTATGACTCCTACCCGAATATCAAAGTTTAAATCCTAACCTATCAATTTCTTTAGCCTTCTCTCCAACCCATTTAGTTTCTTGAATGCATAAAATATTTATCTTCCTATGAATCATAATATCTATTAATTCCATCAATTTTCCTATAAGGGAACATATATTTCACATTCCTATCCTAATTTTAGTTTCATGGACCAGCTTCTTTGCCCACATCCGTCCTTGATGTGGGAACCTTTGTGTATTTAACACTGCACACGGGCACCGGTGCAGCGGCCCTTTCACACTTGTCACTGTATTCAGGCCATACAGTGCGTCGCTTTCAGGGGAAGGCCCTAGCATTAACATAATTTTTTAAAGGATTCATGTCATTACTATTCGACAAGTTTTACGCTGGCTGTCGACTACCTAACGCAACCCTCCACTTTTTAAATATTTAATTAAATGAGATTAACTAAAATTAGGAAATAACTAATCACATGGCCTAAATCATATTATATAATCAACCATTTTAATAAAATATCACCATCAAATCTATATTTCTTAAATTAGGAATATTTGAGTTTTAAGAATTGAGTTGATTGTACTATAAGATTCAGTTCGTACTATACAAATATTAATTTAAATTGCCAAATTTAATCCCATAGATCATGGAAATAAATCAGATCTAATTAATTGCATACCATACTATACGGTACAAATATCATACAATCTAATTTACTTGAGTGCTCTGCTTGAATAACTTGGTTTTTCCTATACAATTAATGATCTTATGAACTAATAATACTAGATGATTTATAATTATACAGGATGATCATCAATGTAATTGAACTAAACTACATATATAAACTATATATCTTACAATATGATCATAAGTTATTAAATTAAAAATTAGGATTTTGATAGCCCATTTTATAATTCAGCACCCTAACAAAGCCATGGTTAGATCCACAGTGCTTCATAACCTTAAAATGCCAGAATAAGCACTACAACACCTGAGTCTCGGGAATTTAAGCATCAAATTGCTAAACTTCATAACGTCGTAGCATCGGATTGTATATTCAAGCACAACAATGCTTAAATTTTTTTGTGCCTTGTGAAGCAGTTGATGAAAGATGGAGCAACATTGATTTAGCCAAGTGACACATCGATTCAATCATTAGAAATATTGTATTAGCCCAACATTATGACTAGGAAATCTTAATATCACCTAGGTGCTAGTTCATTCTATAAAGCCATGTGTCACCCTATTGAGCACCATGGCACCTAAGTTTATTTATATTTAAGTAAAAATTATTTTCAATTTGTTTGAGTAAGAGTTATGTAATAATTTAGTTTAGTTTAGTCGAGAATATAGTGCCCCCTTAGAGCAAAATCTACGAGAGGCTAGAGGAAAGAAGGATACTACATTTAAGAATTGTTAGCCTGTCTCTTTTTAAGTAATCAAATATTTGAAGAAGAAATGAGTATGGAGAGTGCATTTATACTATTTGGGAGACATTTAAAATAACTTATGCTCTCATATTTTCTTTTTTATGTAAGCAATGAAATTTGATATGTTTTCTTCACATTCCATATTTGCCTATTTTCCTAGTTTTGGGCTAATGATATGAACCTAATAATAGTACTAATGTAGACTCTTATGCTTTGAATAAGAAATTGATGTTTTCAGTCTTCAAAATCTTAATTTAATGCATACATTAGCCACATGTGTAGCTAAAACAAGTGTGATATATTCCCTCAATGAAGGAATATTGGGATAAATAGGAGTATTAAAATGGAATGTTTGTATGTCTAAACATAGGATTTTTAAGCTTCTAGGTTCAATGGAGATAAGATTATTGTACGAAGGGCGTAAACCTCCCTTCATATCTATATGAGCTAAACAAAGATTAGGGATGCATATGCACTATTCCACATTAATAAAAGAGAGTCTCATTAGGAAAACTTTGGTAATTTGTATTCATTAGTAAAAAATATTTTGTTATTTGGAATCTTATCATTTCTTTAGCAGTTCTCTATAGTGATAGAACTCAACCCTTATTTTTGCTTAGTAGGATAAACATTACAACTATAGTTAGTAGTACTAGTTTACTTGCATGTTAGCAAAATACTTTCTCATAGGATCGATACACTCTCATTCATTTTATTACTTAATTGATATGTCTAGTTTTGTATTCAGTGGGTATTGCATGTCAAAGAAAACCTAGACATATTTAAGCCTAGAACATAAACATCATTTGCACATTAAGTGCAGCACATGCAGTTCCAATCAATTTTTTTGGCAGTATTGCCGA